GCTGGCCACCTGGTGTGACATTCAGTGGCCTTGTTTGCAGCTAGTATGATGAGACAAGTGGATCAGGTACGTTATAAAACTGAGAAAGCACACAACATGCAGAGTGAAAGGAATAATGACCATGTGTGTACTGCTCTGCTAAAGTCCACATCACATGACTGAGATGACAAACATTTTTTCACCTAACATTTGGGCCCTGAGAAAGGGCATTTATGTTTTACTTTTATTTATTACAGAGTTAGAAGAAATACTGCCAGGCTTTCTTTTCCATTTTCCCCAACTCCCACTTTACCCCCTCAAGTTTACCTACCTCAGAGAGAAAGCAGAGCTCGCCTGGTTAATGAGAGCCTGAATGAATGAGCCAGGTCACTGTGTAAAGGTCATACTGCTTCTGTCTCCTTGTGTGTCACTTGCTCAGCTCAGATATTTCATAGCTCCCTGTATACAGGTAGCTGTGTTACCCTCTTAGCCTGCTTTCTTGGTTTGATACATGCCTGAGAGCATGTGGGAGCACTTAAGGTCTAGGGTGATGGGAGGACTGTTCTGCCCAGCCCAGCTCATCTCTCCAGTTCAGCCTGCATGCATGCCTTCCTCCGTCTGATTCCAGAGCAGGGGGTGGGAGGTCTCACACTGACCTCGAGCTCAGCCTGCATGCATGCCTTCCTCCGTCTGATTCCAGAGCAGGGGATGGGAGGTCTCACATTGACTTCGAGTTTATATGACTTTTTCCACCTCTGCTTTCCCACACAGCCTCTGCTGTGGGACTTGTAAGGAGATTTGTGAAGTCAGTATCTACTTTCTTTGTGTGAGTGTTTTATAAATTAGAGCCCTGGAAGGGAATAAGTGTTAGAGGTACTCCAAACCCCTAACATCTAAACATCTAAGCCTGGCCCTTTTTTGGTGGTAAAATATATACAACATAAAACTCACCATTTTAACCATGTTTAAATGTACAGTAGAGTGGCATCCAGTATAATGTATTGTACAACCATCTCCTTTATCCATATCTACAACTTCTTTATCATCCTAAACTGAAACACCATACCCATAAATAAGTATTTGAATAGAAGACTGATGCATTTGACTCCATAAAAATTAAAACTTTATAGGTGAGAAAAATGCCTTAAAGTCAC